GAAATTTACATGTCACCTGTGTGACAGGAGCTTCACGGAGAAGTGGGCGCTGAAGAACCACATGAAGCTGCACACAGGAGAGAAGCCCTTCAAGTGCACCTGGCCCACCTGCCATTACTCTTTCCTCACGGCCTCTGCCATGAAGGACCACTTTAGGACTCACACAGGTTTGAAACACGCTTCGCTCTGCATAGCAGGCTGAGGTGTGCACGGAACAGGCAGAAAGGGAGTCACGGCTGCTGTGCCACTTGGTGAAACCATGGCATTTCTGGAGGGTGCCTATCTCCACTCCCTGTTCTTGCCCTGCAAAGTTGGAGCTGAGCAAGAGCACACCATGGCCTGAAATCAGTTTTTTTGACATCCAGGTTTAATTTAGTTGAGCTTCTGGGATGATTGTTTAAACACAAATCATTTCTTTAATGAAGTGAACACATGTAAAAGTACACGTCCTCGTAACAGTGCCTGTGATAATCCTTCACTTACCAATGAAACGATGGATAGAGCTGCTAGTGACTAAGGATGATCAGGTTTTATGTAAAGAAGCTCGGTTAACTGAGCACAAGTGCAAAGGAAACAGCAGAAGCAATAAGCTCTTCAGCACTTGTTATTTTTAATAGGAATCCTTTTCTCTCCTTGCAGCCTTTGTGTGTGTGTGTGGCACTGTATGCTCAAGTAAAATACCCTCTGAAATACAGGCTTGATTTTCTTTTTCTTCAGAGAACCATAATTACTGGGGAAAGAAAAAAAATCAAATTTGGTGATGTATTTCAGATGGGTCAAGTGAGCATTTTTGTAAAATATGCGCTTAAATTTAATGGATTTAAGTTATACAGAACCTTTACTAAGGGAACAGGCATTGTTAATTCTAGGTTTGAAGTTAAATAAAATTTAAGCTGTGACAAGTGCAGTGTCTAGAAAATAAGTGCCTGTGAAATATGCCGAAGTCCTTAAAAATACCATTCAGTGCTAATAACAGTAAATATCATTTTTCATACAACCAATATGTGACATTGGTTTCAGAAGAAATAAATGTATGGAATGCAGATTTTGAAATTCTATTAGGCTTCATATAATTATAGTACATAAAGAAAAGCGGTATAAGGTTGACATTACATTATCTGAGCTCTTCTAGGAACTTAGACGTGTGTGGTTGGGAAAGTGAAAAAGAGACTTGGAAAAATCATGCTCTACTTACTGCCTGGCCATTTTCTCACAGAGATCAAATGCAGTATTTTCATTGGAAATAAAAACATTTGTTTATTATTCCTGAACAGATTCTTCCCCGGTTTCTAAAAATCTGTGCTATAGCTTGAAACTGTAGGTTAAAAGTTCCTTCAAAGCTGTTTGTGGGAAGCCCAGGCCTCCTTAGCTTCTTTGACAAGGGTGTTGACGATTTAAGGTCTCCAGCCTGCCCTGAGAGATCACTTATATCGAACAGCAGATGAAAAGCCAGTGCAGATGTAATTTATTGTCGGCGTTTCCTTCTAAAGAATAATTGTGGAGACTTGGCTAGATCAATAATATGGATTTTTGTTGTTAGGTCTTGTAGTCTGCACCATAATGAGAGATAGGGGACAGTGGCTGTTTTCTAATAGAAAATAAAGGATTGGTTTCCGTGTCTTTCTACATTTGAATGCAAAATGGCACACTTGAAACTAATTCAAGTTGTTAAGAAAAGGACCATTTTCTATTGCATTTCTGCTATCATATAAACATGGCAAGTTAGATCAGCCCCCTGTACAGCAGGTGAAATATTGCCTTTACATTTTCCTAAAAGTTAAAAAGTCGCAAATTCTGAGGTTGGAATGATAAAATTGTTAAGCATATCCAGAAGAATGTAAAATACATCTATGTATCAATACATGCCCATAACATCAAATGAAATATTGTGTCTGGATATGAAGGATTCAACCCACATCAAACTTCAGGGCTAAGAAATATGGTGTAGTTGAACTTACAGGTGATGAAGTTTTCTCTGTGCGTTTGTGTGGATATTTGTATTTGTGTGTATACCACAATACATACAACAAATAAGGTAATTCATTAATATGCCTGAAATTGAATGCTCTAAAAAATGTCAGATGCCTCATCACCTTTCCTGAGTTCAAAAAGCAGGGGCCAAATGTCCTCCAGTCTCGCTGTCAGATGCAAAGCCTCACTGAGTCCCTCAAGAGCCCTGCCTGCCCCAGAGCTCCCAGATCCCACCTGGAGGAGTGTGAAGTATTTAACTGGCAAATTGTTTTATAGAATGGAGCAATTTCCCTACTTTAAAGCTGTTGGTTGGTTTTAGATAATTTCTTTGTGGCTCAAAATCTGTTGCAAAGGCCCAAATATAAACTACCTGGTAAATCCATGAGCTTGCAAAGATTCTCTGGGTACTCTGTGTCCTCATTAGTGATGGAGCTGCAGGCCAGACTGAAGTCTGCTCCGAGATGTTAAACACAACATGAGCTAATTTATGACAATATATAGATGATGAGCAATTGCTTGGTAGGCACAGAACAGCATTTAACTTTAAAGTGTGAATTTTATGCTGGGGTGTTAGGCATTGCTGCTAGTTAGAAAGATTTATATTTAAAATTGATTAATTAATTAAATTAATATTTAATTATAATTAAGAATTACATGTAGTCTTTCTACTCCTTTTCTTCGCTATTTTGAGGAATTGAAGTGCTACATGCTGCAGGTCCTGATTTCAAAAATGCCAAAAAATAAAAATAAGCCTGAAAGAGACTGTGCAGAAATCTCTGTGTAACAATCATGTAACACCTCAGCAATAATGCTATTGACAAACATTTTGCAGTAAAGTTCAGGCTTTGTATATATCATTTAGCACAAATGCATTCTTCCAGTGATAGTTAAGATGGGTTTCCATTCTGCTTTTTCTGTTGGTTTTCTTCTTTTAGATTTGGTTGTAATCACTGATGGCTAGAATTGACTAATTGGCTAAAAGAGATGCTGGAATTATTTTGCACCTTAAGATACTGCCTTGAGATACTCTCATCAACGGGCCAAATTTTCAAACAAGTCCAAAGTCCTGTAAAATTTCAGTCTGCTTTATGTGACCAGGTTTGGGATGCAGAAAATAACAATATACCATTTGCTTTATTCTGAAAGGGTGAAATTCTGAAATATGTGCCCATTGCATTTCATAGACTCGCTACTGGTGGAGGTTGACCAGCATTTTTGTAATCCTATTTTAGTGGTAGGGTTCAAGCTGCCTTGGAAACTGTGGAGGAATTGCTTTCCTCCTGGTAGCACAGGGCCCAGGGACTCTCTCACTGTGGCAACTGGGGTGAGGAGCTGGGGCTTCTCAGGGGCTCTCATCAAGGCAGTGGTGGGAAAGAGCAGCTGGTCTCTGTGGTGCTGTCAGGGGAGCTCCCACTCACAAGGTCTCTTGCATCCAAAGTTACCTGAGGCACTGGTGGCTTTCCAGAAAGTCTGTGTATTCATGTGCTGGTTATGTAGGAATAAACTGGTTTCCATCCCTCTGTCTTCACTGGAGGACTTGGTAATTTGACACCCGACCTCTTAACCTGCCTTCTTTTGTAGGAACGAGATTTCCTTCCCTGTGGGGAAGAATTTGAAGGAGACTGTTAGTTTCAATGTATTCAGCATCACTGCCCCACTAGCCCCCTCTCCACTATGTTACTGCGAAAGGAGACAATTTGGCTCCAAGTGACTAATGTGATTCTTTTTAGAAATATATTTTAACAATTTCAGCCTTATCTGAGGTTATTGAGTCTCTACCTGAGGTTACCATTATTAATTCATAATGACCTTCCATGTGGCCTTTATGGGCTGAGATTGCTGTGCATGTTAGTACATACTGAGTAAAAATATTGCTGTGAAATGATAGACTGTATTTATGAGCAACAGGGCAAAATCCTAGATTTACTTTAAAAAAAAGACAAACTGAACTAAAAAGGGAGCATTTATGCACTTCTAATGAGTATTGAGCTTGCCAAAGTCTCTCAAATTGGTCCAGAGGTTTGGAATCAAGAATTATCATTTGAAGTTAAACAATACGAGTTCTGCTGCAATTTCAGTAGCAATCCCCAGACCTGTTTTCTTTATGTCATGAAAACTTTAGAAACATAAACAGTGCTGAATTGCCACTAGTACTGAATAATGTGGCTTTTATGGTTGCCTGGGCTCTTCTTATATTCAAGAAAATAATTTAATACTTATTAATAAATAGAAGGTAACTAAAGATGACTGTGACCTAGTCTATTGAAAATTTCTCAGTACCTTTAATTTGTTAGTAAATTAAATATGTTTTATTTAAGCAGAATCATATATATACAATATATTAACTTTTTTTCCAGGCAGTCTTTACTCAGCACAGAAAGGCCAGATGTATGGGAATTGTAAAAAATCAGGATATGCATAAAAACTGTTCAAGTGCATAAAGCAGCCCCATCTGGAAGACATCTAACAGAAATGAAGTTGTACAAAACCATTCCATTGATAATAAAGCTAATTTTTATGGGTCTGACAAGTATGTAATTATGTTCAGTGGTGCTTTTCAGATTTTATCACAGTCAATAAACCGCAGTGGTAATTTCATTCCCATTTGACATATTTACATGGAAACATTTGATTGGAGGAATTAGTAACCCTGAAAGCCTTGATAGATATGTTTTAATGATCTGTGACCTCCGCAGTCCCTCATCTGTTTATTGTTGCAACAGGCGAGAAGTCGTTCCTCTGTGACCTTTGTGGCTTTGCCGGCGGGACACGTCATGCCCTCACCAAGCATCGGCGGCAGCACACAGGTCAGTAAAGCTGTCTTTACTCTTTGCTATATTTTCTCCAGCAAGGGAGTCCCTCTACACTGGGGAGTAACACAAGTCAAATAGCACATTACAGCACAAATAATACATAGGCTCATTGTTTACTTTGCTTTTTCTCGTTTCTGTAAAATCAGTATGCCCAAGATCTGCATCAAATCCGTTAGCTGGGAGCGTAAATAATTGCTTGGGGGACAGTGCGGGGGAGTATTTTTGGTGGTGTTTTTTTTTTCTTGAAGGAAGTAGAATTGTAAAGAATGGCTTTCTTCTTTAAATGAATGCTAAGTCTACTAATTTTTTTTTTCCAAGGCCCAAATAGATTACCTACTGTGAAGATTTTGCAGGAGACTGCTAGAATGTCCCTGGGTGAAAATTAGAGCCTACATATAGATTAATCCATTATTTTGGACTGAGGCATAGTTGAAAGCTAGTGTTGTTTCAGTTGCCCTTTTGTAATTTTAAGATAGTTTGTAATTAATAGGTGCAACTTTAAGAGTTACCACATGGTTGGCATGTAAAGCGAGATTTCTCTTCCAGAATTAGTAAAGTGTTCCTACCACCTGGTTATAAAATTTTAATATCAGGCAAAATTAAATAGGTTTTTAGTTTCAGAAGACCAGAAAAAAGTGTAAGTATTAAACATTTATTAATACATTCCACCTTAATTGTTCTTTTTAGTAGTTCCTTGTATGTGTTTGATTGTTTGAATAGATTTTGTTCAAACAGACATAGAACGTTGCTGTTTAAGCCACTGTAGTTTTTTGTTTTACTGACTATCATGAGGATAATGTAATATTATCAGGAATTGCTGTGTGAGTTAAGTGACCATTGTCTAATGTACAGTGGAAAGAAATGGCTAACAAATGAGAAGCTGTAGTTGTTACATCATGAATTTTCCATGGATTTTGTAAAGGAATCACAGTGGGAGATTTTATTATGTCCCTGTATAAACTAATCTTCATTCAGGACATACACCATCTAAATGTGTAATTTCCTGGAGAGCAGCTACTCTCTTTCTTGAGAGCCTGAAGCCATTCTTCCCACCCTGTTTTAGTTTATTTAAAGCAACCATATTTGGAGGAGACTCTGATGCTTTCAGAAAGGTGGGTTTTTCAGTGCCAGTTAGGCAATGACTCAAAACAGATTAATTCTAAAAAAAAATAGTATATTCAGGGCCAAATTTTGCTTGCAAGTCTAACTAGCAATCCTATTTTCAGAATATTTTTTTCTGATAACAAGGAACCTGCATTTGTGGGAGAGTAGTGCCACAGTTATTCCCATTCACTGCAGGAAGTTTGTATTTTTCAAGTGTCCAACAGAAGTAATTTTGTAAATATAGTAAGTTGTCTTCGTATTAGAAATTGTAACGGGAGCAATTACAACTACTGGACTGGAAGCTGTATGCTTCAGTTGTAACTAACTGTGTACATTTTTCTGGAGCTTTGAAGAATTTTCACGTGTTGGCAGAAGTTTACCAAATGTGGACTAAGAATGATTTTTTTTTTCATCTTTAGCAGAGATAAATCATTTTTATCAAAAGGATAGGAACTACTTTTTGGGGTTTTTTGCCCTGCTATGTGGCACATTGGGATCCTGCATGTGTCTAGAACTCATAGTCAATGCAGCCACACACATGGTAAACAATCATTTCAGAATGGGAAAGTAGAAGAAATGGAAATTCTTGTATTAACCCTTCTTGTCTTTACCTATTGTGTGAGTGCAGATCTGGTGTGTCAGAAATGTAATCCCTTTTCATCAAATAAATATTTAGAATTTTGTATCATTAGGTGACAAGCCAATAGAAAATAATATTCTATTTCAAGGTTTATGTGCAAAATTAGGCTGAAAATATGGTATGTTCCTGGTGAAAAGCTGTCCAGGTTTTTGAAGGCATTTTGCCCTTCTTTTGCCAGTGTGGTAGAGACCTGTGCTATGATCACAGGGATTTACAGGTTATAGATCATGAAGCTTGCATCTAGCAAGCATAACTTTATATTTTATGTCAGGACTGGAGGCTCGTTATTACTTTGCTATTAACTTTATACTATACAGGACAGTATCTCAGAGGCAGAGGGATCTATCTTTTTGGCATTTATCTGCCTCTGTGGCACAAACAATCAGAGATGATTCTTTAGCAGAAAAATTATCTATAGCTTCTATTTGTTTCAAGGAGAATGACACAATCCACCTTTGCCTGCATTGTTGCCCTTACATGGGTTCCTTTGTATTTTCATCTGGTGCTCAACTTCATCTCAGTCCTTAGCTGCATGCACTCACTCCTCTTTGTACCTCTTTTTTTCCCTCTGTCCCCAGTTGGCACAGTTTTCCAAAGCAGAATGCCAAAGCAAATTACAATCAGGTTTGAAAGGGATAGGTATCAAAAATAGTCTAAATGGCTTAAATAATTCCCTACTGTAATACAAGCTGTCTAGGGGGCTGACACAGAACAACTTCCAATCCAAGATTTACTTCTGTCACCTGTCAGAGACCCTTGATTCAAGGGCAAATGAGCAAATCCTCACATGTAGTTGAGGAGTCTTAACCAACTTAACAAGCCTCATCTCATCCCAGCCTCAAGGCCTGAGATGTCCTGACACCCCAGAGAAATGTTCAACTGCTGCTAGATATTTGACACAACAGAGGACTGGCTGTAGGATCAGCCACATAGACTTTTGACACTCTTGATTCTGGTAGTTCTTACTCTGTTCTTCTCTTTTTAGATGAGATTATTTTTATATACCTGGAGAAATACCTTTATCTTGTGAAATGCATTTTCTTTGGAATTATTACAACAAACATTAATTAGAACTCGGTGTGAAAAAATGCTGGCAGAATCTGGCCCTTGGTTACACATGGAGCAAACTGTCGGGACTAGTTTGGTAAATGGGATGATATCCCTTGAAGAGATATTTTGGGGTTTTTAATTAAAAGAAGTACAGAAATGTTAGACCGGAAGAAAAAGGCATTAGTTTTAAGGCTTGAAAAATGTTTGTACTTCCTATATTTGCAAACATGATGCATCTCCATGCAGATTTCTTTGTTTTAGGCTTTCTCAACTGTAAAGTACCCACAAGTAATTGACCTATCAAGAGATTTCTGGTGTTTCACTGGTTGACATTTTTATTGTGTTACGTATGTTATGTCCTTAATGACTGACCTGATTGTGTGAGAAATGCACACTTTGAACACAGAATAAGCAAAGTCTTTGGCTTATTTTGTCCTGGGAAAATGTTCTAGTATTATTTTATGATCTGATTCCACCTTCTTCCAAGTCCTATTCTGCAAGAATCCATCCATGGAATTCTGAAAGTCTTTCACTGACTATGTAGATATCAGTGGCCTGCTCTTCTATTTTGTGAATTGAAGCAGTGGCAACTTCAAGAGTGGTCCAGAGTTTGACCAGAATTTTATTACATTGTAAAATACTTACATCTCTGTCTTGTTGAATGCTTTACACTTGTGGCTGCCTAGGCTGTGATTAACTGTCTTAAGAAACGGGGACCACTTGCAGTATCAGCTGGTAAATAATGTGGTAAATAAGGGAAAGCTTGTGGTGCTGCGAGAATGTATGTGCCACAGTTCTGATGTCTCAACAAGTCTGGGAGGAAAAAAATTCATTTTTGAGTCATCCTAAAACAAGTTTATTTGATTCATATTTTGTTCCAGTAAGAAAATCTGCCTGAAGATAGGAAGATAAATAAATGATGCTGCAAATTTTAGTGTTCACTGAATTTAGAGTTAGTTGAATTCCACAAAGAATTTAAGCGATTATCTGAATTTTGTCATAGAAAGGAGTAAATAACCTTTAAATCTGCCACCAAACACACACACACACACACACATATGAAAGAAGTATATAATATTATGTAATTTAAATACTTTGCCTTAATCATGATCAACTAGGAAATTGCATGAGAGGGTAATTATTTCTGTTTTGAAATGAAAACATGGAAACACAATTCTTAATTTTAAAATAACTTTTCTTTATGTCCTTGTTTTTATTGTTCTGCTCTCCTCCTTTGTCTGTCATTTGGTATCACTCTAGTTTTCCATTCTTCTGTATGTTTCTGAGTAAGCTTCCTTTTCTGTACTGTAGTAGCTGGCACAGTCCAACAGGGCTTCTCAGTCACAGCCTGTGTCTTCTGCATGAAATCCCTTTTTAAATGTTGGTTAGTACTCCTGCAAATTGCAAAACCCCCATACTTATCTTCTACACAGTGGCATAATACATTTGCTTCTTGTGTGTTGGTTGTGGTGGAATCTTCCTGGGGATGGTCAAAGTACAATACAGTAGTAGAGTGTTAGTGGGTAAGTACACTTACTGTGTGCAGCACTCCTGTGGCAGTCACCATGAACCTATGGAACTGCTGAAGAAGATCGTGTCTTTGTTCAAGTATTTTCATGAATTTTTGAAGATGGTAGCTTATACAGATCACTGTTTGTATGATTGCTTCTGCTCACTCATTTCAATCTTGCACTTCTCAAGACATTTATAGGTCAATGTAATAAAGAAAGAAAATTTAATAATATATGTGTTTTTATCCAGATGAGTGACTCACTTTGTGTTTCTATTTCTCATGTGAACTGCTCTTTGACTTTAATGTGTAGTTACATTACTCGGCATTGAATTTAATGTATAATGTAGCCTCTTCTTTTCAACTTCCCCACCACAGCTTAAAAAAATTATAATGTTGAATACCACAGGAAATGTAGCACAGTAAGGAGGCTTACTGTTCTTTTCAGCAAGAGGAGAGGTGAAATTTGAAGAGAATCTTTGTTGGTTTTCCTTTTCCATTTACAGCAACATTTGCAACAGAGTGTACAGCTTGATTATAGCAAACATTTGACCAGAAATGACACCAAAATCTTGGGTATTTAAAACTTTTCTTTCCC